CAAACATGTCTCTGTAATTTTCATATGCAGTTTAATCTCTACTTAGCCAAAGCATGAATAATTAAACGATGAGACTAAACTAATAGATTATTACATCAATGATTAAGTATTGATGGTATATTAATAGACTGTTTTCCTTTTTTTTGTCTTTGAGTTATTTTTTTAATTAAATCACAGCTGTGTACATTAATGCAAACATGGGGTCCAATGTGCTGGTTTTATATACAATTTGAAATGCTTTCATCAAACTGGTTAATATAGCCTTCATGGCATTTTCTTAGTTATTGTGTTAAGACATTTATATTCTACATTTAGTAAATTTCACATGTACCCTTGTAAGATGCACCATAGGCGTGGTCCCATCACGTGTAGTAAAAATGTTTCTATCTCCCTGGTTGAAAATAAAATTGTAGCCTTATTTTTTTCAGGATTACTTTTAACATTTTATAATCTATTTTATTTTGATAAAAAGCTGTAAAAAGGAGGATAGAGAACACAGACTATGGTAAATGTTTTGTTATCTATGAGTAATTAATTTTATTTGAGAGCGTATTATTGCTTAATCATTGTTCTATCAACAATGGAAGATACACTAAACAGTCTCATTCTATTCTGTTCATGTCCATTTCCACCTGTTTTTCTAACAGTCTCCTTTCTCCATGTTGAAGCTACTTCTCAGGGGTAATGAGTGACAGATAATCTTCTTGCTTTAAAAATAGAGTCCACAAAATTTTTCTACCCAGGTATTTCTTTTTGCCTTAAATTGTACTCGTTCCAAAATGTGCTGTTTATGTTTTTTCATCTCTCTAATGCACTGTGTCCATTATTTTAGCTTTAGACTCTCTATGTCAATTTGAGTTAGTCATGTCTCCAAGATACTTCTGAATTGGGTTTGTTTTTCTCATCAATATATACTTGTATATACTCATTCAAATTTGTAATTATTTTGTGTTTATTGTCTTAAAGTCACAACATGAATAAATGACAGAAAAGGAATTTGAACATCTAATCAAAGGGCTTTAATTATACAAGGAATCTGTGATCTTTAATATATAATCTATCGTTTCATAAGCTTAGAATATCTAAAAGGAGATTTACCAAAATCTATGTTTTATATGTGATTGTAGGCACAGTTAGTGTTTAATGCAGATCAGCGATGTTTAGGCTGGTTTTCACCTGATAGGTCTTAGTTTTACTGGTACATTAATTAACTTTTAGGCATACCGAATTTTTCATGTAATTTCAATTTGAAGGTATTTCTATACAATTCATTCTATGAAAGTGTTGTAGTTTTCCTTGGTATATACATTCATTATGTGCTTTAAAATACTAAACATGATAAGACAGTGAAAACAATGCTAAGCAAGAATAGCACTTAACACCCCTACCTTTCACCATGATCAGCCATGGAGACTGTAGATCAACAATAAATAGTGCCCCCTTGGCAGTCACAAATGAATTATTGAAATAAATTCAGTGTCAAAGAAAAGTTGATCCATTAAAATTAAGTCTATTTACTGATGAAGTTATATGCCATGAGTTTTATTGCAGTCACAAATATGTAATGCTATTGTTCAGTCCTTAACATGTAAGCAGGGAAATAATTCTGGGTGAATTGATTTTCAAAAAAATTAGGCTATGGTTTATAAAAATTGTAATTACATTTAGTCCCTTGACTGGGAGGTAACCACAGTCTCCAATAACAGTGATTTTTAAGAGGGAGCATTAAGAGGTATGTTTCATCAAAGAAGCAAGGGAGTGAGGGGGCTGTGCATTAAAACAAACAAAACCAAACCTCCACTCCGCTATTATATCATAATTTTTCATGGGAGACGTGAATACCACTTCAAATTTCTTCCATACTTGAGTTACTGTTTAATAATACAAAGTTATGCTCTCTATATAATCAGTTTCTTTCCTACTAAATGATAAGTTCATAAGGAAGGGAACATACATGTTTGTTTAATCACAGTATAACTGTGGGAGGACAAATTCCAGTTGTCTTTTCTGAAACAACGTCAATCAATGACTACGGAAAAATGTAGAATCCCTGCAGATTCTCATGAAGCCGCACCTTGTACTTGTTTGGTTGCCCTGTGACTGTTAGTGAAACAAAGTAGTAACGACGCCTGGAGTCAGTAATATTATGGGTGGGAAACACGGCAGGAAGACATCTCAAGAGACAGAGGCAACAGGATGCCCAGGGCAGCAGAAAAGCTGCCCAGTGAGAAAGACAGCAACTGTGAGAAAGACGGCAATTGTGTGTACAACAAATATATTAATCACTTAGCTGGCCAGAAATAGCTAAGGTGGATGCCACTAGACCAATAGACAGCAGGTTTCAAAGCCCGTGTTTCCCATATACATCAACACCGAAAAAACAGTCCCGTCTGCACATTCTGTGTCCCGCTACACATTGTAACATACTTTGTAAGATTTTCCTTATAACCTTTTTTTCTTACACTTCTTTGTTCTGACTTTTTAATAAATACCTGCTGGAACCTGGAGTCAGATGCCAGAGCATCAAACCCAGCAGCATGTTTTATTTTATTTTTCCTTATTCTTCTATTACTCCAAAACTTTACAAATTGTCAATCAGGAATTTCCCATTTTAGATGAAATCTAAACAAGAATGATTTATACTGCTTGCATAATCTTGTGCGGGATAATACTGTACTCAGGTATTATTTATTTACCAATAGATACAAACATTTAAAGAAGATTAAACATTTTAATATGATTTGAGCTTCATGTTTAATCTGGATAATCTTAAAACTCATTCTCATATCAATCTACTTTAGATACATGAAATACAGAATATATTAGGCATAGATTATATAAGATTATTCTCAAATTAAAACTGGTGCTAAACAAGTAATGTCTTATAATATTGAAGCTGAAAAAAGGAAATTGAAGGAGAAAGCAATTATTCATATTCAAGTTGTCATATGTAGCAAACCATTGCTACGTATTGCTAAAACACTCAATGTGTCCCTTTAAAAGCACAAATAATCAAGAACTTGGTCTTCCTGCCTCATCATAGTGTAGTTTCTTACTCACAGAGCCCACGAAGACAGGGATAAATCAGAGTGTTGAACTGACACATCTATAAAATGCTGAATCCCTGGTGAGATTCTCTTTAGTTTGTAAAAGGCCAATTAGGACTAGCCAACATCACTGGTTATAGAAAAAGTAAAATATCTGCCAAATCCTAGTCCCAGGTCAGAACAGAGAGCTAAATATATGAATGTTATTACAATATAAACAAACTAATGAAAGATAAAAGAAGATAATGAACCCAAATGTGCAAATCATCTCGATCAAAACTCAAACTTCATTTTATATCTAAAAATGTCAACTAAATAGAACTAATATGTGTGTATATATTTCTATGTACCTGTTTATTTTTTTGAAGAAGGAATCGCCTTATCATCTTTGGAATTATCCCAGTATTAAATGATTTTTCAACTAGAAGTGCTATGCTAAAAAAGTTTTCTTTTATTCATTCTTCAAGGACATGAAATTTATTTTACTTTAAACAACAAAAGAATCAAATCTTATTGCACGGTGTATTCTCAATGTCTGACATTTAGAGGCAGGAATGATTGATAACTGCACCTTACTTAGCGGGAAGATTAATCTTTATGTAGATTCAAGTGTAGGAAGAAAGACACGTTCACGTTTCTCACTTTTCTGCCAAGTCTGCTGTAAATTAGAAGTGTCAAAAAGTAATTTCTCAATTTATATGCATGGAAAAAACCCTAGTTTTGTCTAAATGTATTAACATTAAAGTCACCCATAGAAAGTAACTAATGCATATTTGAAATAGCATCACATTATAACTCATGTCTATGAAGTTATCTTCTATCTTTTTATTGGTGATTTGCTGAGTAATTTACAGTGCTATTCAGGAGCGTCTGGACATGAGTTTCCGAAGTGAGTCACGGTAATGGAAACACCAGGCTTGCGTCTAAGAATTTTACATATGAAACTGCGCTGTGCTCAGTGAACATTAATCATAAACTGAGTTACCAAGGAGTTGAACGTTTTTATAAAAGGTTTTTCCATAATCATGGCAATGCAATGTAAAAATAGTTTAATTTAGTTCTTTTTTGTCAAAATTCCAAACTACATCTAGATGATCATCGTTTCTCATCCATTCTTCAAATGTATAAATTTAATTTTAAAATAAGTACTAAATTACCTCATTGGAATATAGTGAATGATTAATACACAGCATAATAAAATATACTGATACAATAAATAGAAATGTTTAAAAGACTTTAATAAATGTTACGACATATGATGGACAAAGAAGGGAATAGAGATTCTTAGAACATGAATGAACATCCCTACGTGAGGTTCCGGATAGAGTCTTAGTAACTATGAATCCCCCCCGCCCTCCGCATGAAGAAGACCATCTCCTAGTACTACCTGCTGAAATGCACACTGATGTCTACTTAATCAATAAATATTTTAAATTAGCAATTAAACTTCATCATGCCATGCTGACATCCTGAAATAATAAACAGCACATAAAACCAAATAAGTGTTATAATTCAAAATATCAAAAAATTCTCCAATCAATAACAAAATAATAAACATCATAAGAATAGTCAAAAGATAATTGAGGATGCTAAGCATAAAACTATAACATAAGTAATTTTTATTCCTAGAAGGGAAAATTTGAGATTTTTCTCTAAATGAGAAGATTAGGACCAACAGTATTTCTTCTAAAGTATGTTTTGTATCATTTACTTTTGGAATAATTGACAATTTAATTCAAAATTACTCCTTTTGGCAAAACATCTTTCATCTACGTTTCTTTCATATTTAACCTGAAAATACAGTTACAGTCTTTTCCTATATTTTACTTTAAAAAGTTACATCACAGTCTAAAGGCTGAAAATTTTTCTTATATCAAAAATATTCAAGCAGAAAATTGTAGACTTAATTAAATATTATAAATGACACTGCAAATCCACAATTTTGTTTTCTTTTTTCTTATGGAACACTTCATGAATTTATGCGTCATCCTTGTGCAGGGGCCATGCTAATCTTCTCTGCGTCACTCTAATTTTAGGGTATGTGCTGCCAAAGCCAGCACTGTTTTATTTTTTCTTCACGTCAGTGTACACTGTTGTTGTCCCAGTAGATCCATTATACTGGGCCAGTACATCAATCCCAACCTCTGTGAGCCTCAGCTGCTAATATTTCTCTCTCTGTCATGCTTTTATTTTTTTGAGACAGAGTCTCACCATGTCACCCTTCATAGAGTGCTGTGATGTCACAGCTCACAACAACCTCAAACTCTTGGGCTTAAGTGATTCTCTTGCCTCAGTCTCCCAAATAGCTGGGACTACAGGTGCCCACCACAACACCAGGCTACTTTTTGGATGTAGTTGTCGTTGTTTGGCAGGCCCGGGCTGGATTCAAACCTACCAACTCCAGTGTATGTGGCTGGCACCCTAGCCACTGCACTGTAAGCGTTGAGCCTACTTCTAATATTTCTCAACTCTTCCTTTTTGCAACCACCTCACCTAGGCATCAGTAAAAACATACACCATCCTAGGGTAGCCTGCAGCTAATTAATCTAGGGGAAGAAAAGACCAGTCACTTGTCACAAGATGAGACCAATTCTATTGCAATTCATGCCCCAGCGTTCTGCAAGGACCTGCTGAAGTCCATGGAAGGCTCTGCTTTTAAGGAAGTCAAATCACAATAGTTGACTCAGGAGCAGTGCTGGGGGGGATTACGAGTTGGATCCTCACTTGATAACTGAGGTCTTATTGGCAATGAGGACCCTATCACCTGTAGTGAAATTAAGATCTGCTTACTAATGGAGTTTTTATACTCTGTTGAGAAGGTGGGATCACTTGTATGCTCATTAGTATAAAAGCAGCCACATGGGAAATTGTAGAAAGGGAGTCCTCAGCTTGGAAGAAAATTGATAACTAGAAACAAATGGTGTGTGGCAAAGTTGGAAGATGTGGCAATCCAATTGTATGTTTGGGAGTCAAATGTAGGGTAATATTCACAATTACGTAAGTTGTCGGGGGCAAGCTCTATCAATCTTATTAAGAAACACATCTCAAGGATGTGTTGTTACACTCAATGTTTAATAACCATAAAAGATATAAACATTTTTTTCTGTGTTCAATTGTGTACTTAAAATATTTTGGATAACTTGATTTGGAGTTGCTCGATCTGTAGATCTAACTTTTAATGTGCCTCTTCCCCCTAAGTTTCATAGACTTCTAAATTCTTATGGCTTTTTCTGGTATTGAACATGCTGTGACTTTCTTTTTTTTTTGCAGTTTTTGGCGGGTCTGGGTTTGAACCCACCACCTCCAGTACATGGGGCCAGTGCCCTACTCCTTTGAGCCACAGGCGCCACCCCCCATGCTGTGACTGCTAAACCGCTTCAAGTGTGTCTTTCACATACTTCTCAATGCATCTGGAAAGCACCACTGGTTTTCACAAAATGAAATTGTCTTTGAAGGCTCACTTCAAAAACACTCACCTTTGCATTTCCATGACGGAATTAGTTCTGTCCTGTAATTTATCTGCATACGTGCTCAACTCTCATCTCCTTCTTTGCTGAGATATTTATGAATGCCATGAATGCCTTTGCGTTTTTGGAGAACATAGTCATTCATATTTATGAAAATATGCACGGAGAACAAGGCTGGACTTTCAATGGTAAATTGAAAAATAGAGGTTCTTAAACTGAAGATAACGCCTCTATGATTAAAAAAGTCAAAAAGCACTAATTCCCCCAAATTTTCAAGGATACAGATAAGGTACACATCTGTTTGCTACTAATAAACAAAAGGGGTTATGTTTTCAATGACCCCTAGGAAAAGTGGCCCCAAAAAGGGAGAGTTGAGAAATGTTAGCAGCTGAGGCTCACGAGAGGTCGGGATTGATGTACTGGCCCAGTATAATGGGTCTATTGGGACAACAACAGTATCCACGGACATGAAGAAAAAAATAAAACAACATTATGGATTTCCAGTGTCATTTATAATATTTAATTGAGTCTATAGCTGTCTGTAAGAATATTACAGCCTCGTTCAATTATGGTAGAGAATGAATAGTATCCTGCTATGTGCAATTTTTAAAAACTTCTACATTTAATATTAAAGCTGTATCTATAATCTCTTTTCTCCAGAGACTGTTTATAGACTTCATTGTAGTGACTAACCTCATTTATTTTGAGAGTAATGCACCATAGATTCCTAAAAAATGCATTTTTATAGTTTTGTTTATTTGTTTTTTTAATATGGGATAGAGAGCAATAAATAAAGGTTGTGTAAATAAAGTTATTATATCTGCCTCAACTAAATATAGGTTTTTACTAATGCCATTCTTTTGTTAAAAATAAATATATAATAAAATGAATAAACGAAGCATATGTCTTATTATACCACTCCATTTCTTTGCAAATCACAGATGATGCCTTAATGTGGGGAATATGAGGAAAGACTGCCACAGTTGTGGCAATTCTCTCTGAATAAATGGACACATCACTATAGCTGAAGCATAAATGTGTAGACTTAGTCTTAGAGAAGAAGAACAAGAAAGATTGACATCACGAAATCATTGCAAAATCAATGATCTTGGGATTTGAATTCTAAGACGCATATTAGATAAACTAACATCATAAATTATTTTCTGATTAAATAAGATAACTACTGTTGTAGCTTAAATGAACTCTCAGTTATTTGTCACCCCAATTTAATGTATTTGTAAAATTAAAGGTTTTATTCTATTAAATCAAAATATCTCCATTGTGAACAGTTGTAGCAGAGATTGTTTTAGGGACATGAGGTGACATGTTCCACTACAGAAAAATATGTGTTTTCTTATTAAGGTAAAAGGCTTCCACAGAGAGGAGGCAAAGTGGATATTTGAATGGCAGAAGATGTGGATATTGCTATCGGGGTCTTAACTATGTTTGAATTAATGTTAAGTTTTACAGATATAGGGAGAAATGGAACAGGCAGATGAATGTTTTAAAACCACAACTACGTATTAGGAGTATTTCACAGAGATCAATGTTTTAATGATTCAAAGTCTACTCTTCCCAACACTGATCTCTACCATCAGTGCCAAAGAGGATGTTTACACCCCTGTAAGGCAGGGTGAAACGTGGATGGTATTAATCAGTACGGGGCTTGCTTGCCTCCGGCCCACCCAAATAAAACATGGCACGTTTTACTGTCTTTTCTCCTGAGACGTAGGCTAAGCTGACAGATGATAGAAAAGAATTAACCTTCACAGTAAGGCAGAGAAGCAGCCAAGCAGATCAGAAGTACACACACACATGCACTCACACACACACACACATGCACACACACACACACACATGCACTCACACACACATAGACACACACATGCACTCATGTGCACTCACACGCACACGTGCACTCACAGGCACACACACACGTGCACTCACACACACACTGCTGTCCAACCTTGAATTTGGCTTAATGTGATTACACAAAAGTATTGCTGGCACATACTGAGGACTGTTGCAGTATCAAATTAATTTATGATTTTAAAATGCCTTTCCCCTCTCCAAAGGAGGGCCACACTAGGACACAGTCAATAGCCTACAGAGTGGGGAAGATATTCACAGATGACACATCTGATGAAGGCCTAATATACAGAATCCACAAAGCACTCTATCAAATCAGCAAGAGAAAAACTGAAAACTCCATTAAAAATGGGCAAAAACATTAAAAACATTTACTGAGAAGAAAATAGACAATGGGCAACAGAGATATGAAAAAACAATAAACATCGTCCAGGGAAATGAAAATTAAAACAATAATGAGATACCAGCTTCTGCCTTTCAAAATGCCCTTTGTCTAAGTCAGGAAACCATAGACACAGCAAGGATGAAAAGAGAAAAGAAACACTCCTGCCTTGTTGGTGGGACTGCAAATTAGCACAAACTCTGTAGAAAACAGTATCGAAATTCCTCAAAGAAAGGTGTTCAATCCAGCAATCCCCCTGGTGGGTATTCCCCCAAATGAAGAGAAGTCATTTTATTCAGAAGACATCCACACTCGGATGTTTATCACGGCACAGTTGACAGCTGCAAAAATGTGGACTCCACGTTAAGTGTCCATCAGTGGGCGAGGGGATAAGGGAAATGCAGGGGTGTAGGTGTGTGCAGACCGTTATCCTGAGTCAAGCTAACTATCAGCACAAAAACTTCATTGGTGGCCAAGTTCATCTTGAAAATGTCACTTCAAAACATACTAGGGATTGTTTTTATTTTGTTTTAGTGAAATATGATGCGCTGATTTCTAAATGTATATGAGACAGAAGAGAGTTCAAAATTCTCAAGACAACTTTGTAGAGAATTTAACGCTATATAATATACCCTTCTGGACATCAAGAATAGTTGTATAACGAAAGCCTTGGTTGATGTTAGGATAAATGAATAGGCAGATTAAAACAGAGGACACCAAGACACACTATCTTATATAAGTATACACATTTGAAATATAAGAAAGCAAGCGTTGCAGATGGGTGGGAGAAGAAACCAGGACAGCTTGTAGCCGTAGGTGAATACATTGAATCGCTACCTCACACCACACACAAAGTACATTTCAAGTATATTCTCATCCTCTTATCTTTATGATAACAAGATCCGAGAGTTTCTTGATGATCACATACAAAGTGAAATATTGTTATACTTAGCATTACACTAAAAGGCAGATGTGTCCATTGAAAAGTGCCTGTAAATAGACCATCACATGATACTTGCAATACAAATAAACAAAATATTGCATATAAAAAAACATGTACAAGCTGGAATAAAAGATATGTAATGCCATATAGAATTAAGCAAATTATAGAATACATAATTTACAGATGGAGAAACCTACAAAAATATGTTAATTCCCTGGGAATCAGGATAATCAAAATTAATTCACTGAGTAATAGATTTGACAATCCTTAGAATGCAAACATTAGCTTTAAAGTAATACTTTTTCCCCAAGAGTATGGGAGAAGGAGAAATCTATTACTTTTTTTTGGCAGTTTTTGGCCGGGGCTGGGTTTGAACCCGCCACCTCCAGCATATGGGGC